CAACTGGCTTCACAATTAAGCAAAGACAGTTTTCCAGATTGATTTTGTGTCTCATGAAGGGGAATACAACTTTCTTTCTTGGGCATATCTATGATGGTGGAAATAAGAGACCTGAAAATGAATGGTTTCCACATCAATGATGGTGATGAAGGAGGAAGGAGAGGAGGAGAGAGAAGGAAGAGGAGAAGGAGAAGAAGGAAGAGAAGAAGAGCAAGCAAAAACGAAAGAGGAAGAGAATATTTTTGATCATGGTGATGATCCAATTCAGTAATTTGTCAGCCGTCTTTAATCAACAGAATCACAGTTCCCAAGTACTTCTAAAACCCAGGTTCTGCTGTTATAAGGCAGTTCACATAAAATAATGTGGACCTAGCAACGGAATACTGAACAGGATGCTCTCTCAGTCTTTGTCTCGTTTATCTTATTTAAGTTTTATCAGAGTCCTACAAAGCAAACAGCATTATCCCTGTTTTACAGATGAAGGAATCATGGCTCAGACTTGACAAGAGTAGAGGAGCAGACATTCACACTTAATGTTTTCATGGTTTCATGGTTCTGAAGTCCGTGTGTTGTAAAGATTAAGCAAGACATTGTGCATGAAAACAGGATGCCTAACACGCAGTAAGCCCTCAAATGTGACTTTCTTTCCATCTTTGGGTTCCTTACTCACTTTTGGGTTCCTTAATGAAGATGACATAAACCCTATGAGAACTATGTGCACTGAGGAAGAATAAAAACTACATTTTCTTTTCTTCTCCAAAGAAAAGTGTTGGCATAGGCTTATCTGAACCTCAGTGGGGGCAGTGAGTAGGATGGCTGTGAGTTTTGATAGGTTTAATTTGGTTTTATATTTTGACAAATGGCTATATTGTCTGAAAGCAAAATATTAGTATGATTTCCTTATAGGAAGAGTTTCCTATTTCTCAAATCCCATGACTGTTATTTTATTTTATAAAATGATAAATACAAAATAAAATACCTGGTGTAAATTGACTTTTTTGCAGCAAGGGTAATATTCCTTCTAATCTAGAATAATTACGAGTTTTTAGTGAAACAATCCTAGGTGTCAGTCCTTTCTCCACTGCTCATCACTTGTGTAGCTTTTTTGGCTAGCCATCAAATGTTCGTGAGCTTCAGCTTTTCATTTTTAAACGCAGATAATAGCAGTCATTAAAGAATGTAAGAATTTTTATGTTCATTGACACATAATGTGCTTTAACAACACAAAGACACAAGAAACTATGGTGGTCATTAGTGTTATCTGCCAAATGGTCCTAAATATCCACACTTCAGGGCACACATTGGAAATGCATTTCCTGGCTTGAGTGAGACTATGTAACTAGTCCTGGCTAACAAGTTGTGAGGAGGTACAATGCCTGTCTGAGACTTTGCAGACTCTTTTTCCTCTAGCTGGACAACCAGCAACATTTGAAATGGTAGCTGACCTGTGAGGGTCATGTAGCAAGAGATTGGAGTTACAGCAGCATTGTGTATCTCATTCTGAATGACCAGAGGTGATTAGCCAAAAAAAGGTCTTCTAAAAAAAAAATATGAAAAAAACCCCCTAGATCTTCCTTTACAGTACATAAGAATCTTGATCCAATTTTTGTTGTGAATGAGTGGAGCAATGTATGGGGCCTTACTTCAAATTGTCCCTTTAGAATTCTCAACCATGACAGCATTTATACATAATCAGGATCAAATTCCACTTTATGATCTAAATTATTATGCACCTCTCAAATGAAAATGGAGCTCAGAATTAGATTTAAAGATGATTAAGAGCAGGGGAATAAGCCAATTCGATATTTATTTCTCACCTAAAAGCTTTCTAGATTTTTAGATAACTGATTTTAAAATACTTATTTCTGTATTTTTTCCACATTGTGCAATTCATACTCTAGGTTCACTACTGAGTAATTTAGAGAAAGCCAAATGGTTTGACTATTTCATATAAAGTAAAAAAAAAAAAAAAGAAAAATAAGGCATAGGTCACACTGTTCTTAATGATATGGCACAGCAAGAAAAATGTTACACTGGAATCAGGGGTAAATAATACTTCTAATTTGGGGGGCAGATAATTTCAAATATAATTTTAAAAGACCAAATCAGCATCACAGATTCAGCTTTAAATGAAAGTTAAGAAACATAATAAGACATCTTAATAAATTGTTTTATTTTAAAATGATATGACACACTTGCTATTATCATATAAGGCATCAAATGCCCTAATAAAAAGCCCATAACCTTAATATCTGCCCTTTTAGAATGTCAGAAATACATAATCAGCAAAGTATTTTTCTTGTTTGGCAAGAAAAGTAAAATTAAAAGCACAATGAGAACCATGAAATTAAAACTCTCAATCTACTATATAATAATAACCCATCTTTGCTTTCTTGTATGACATTTGTTTGGAACCTGGCTAGGAAGCAGGAAGATGGCAGTGAGAAAACAAGGCTGGCTCTTCCTGAAATACAGGAGAATTACTAAAACTTGAAGCAAAGGAAAACACTGTTTGCTGCCCATATTTCCCTGAAATAAAATTATAAATCATGGTAAAATAATTTCTAAATATGCCACGCTTCTATGAGCCTGAAATTTAGAGGTCAAAAAAAAATCAAACCTCTGCAGGATGCTAAACCACCAAAAGAGATGTATACAATTACGACATCTCATTCTGAGGTTGATTCCAAATTCTTCATTCACAACCTGTGAGAGACTTCTTTTGTCCTTAAAGTCAATATTAAGGCATGCCAAGTTTCCTATAAGAAAATTATTCTAACAATAGCTTTAAATATTATGGTTCTATAATTATAAATTATTCTCCTAATACATTCATAGACTTGAGTGTACATACATTTGCACACTAACAAACAAACCAGAGACAGGTACACTCTTAAGTGTATGCCACAGATTTTTTAAATCAATTTTACGTATTTAAAATAACATCTTACTTTTTACGGTGCCAGTGCACAAGTCAGGCAAGTTATTTCCCAAGCCTTATGCCCATACGAGTTGGAAGGAGAGGATATTATAGAATCCTATGAACCATAAAATGATATAGCTGAAAATCAGCAAAAAATGACAATATGTTAATTCTCCTTACAAACACTTTCATACTGAAAAAAGCCAGTGAGACTTCATTATAATTCTTTTCATTGTAGTCATTCTTTATGCCCAATTCTGGGAAAGGTTAAAGTCCATCACAGAGAACTGTAAGGATCTGTCTTATTCCTTTGTCACAGTGGAATCTAGTTGATGGTATTAAATCTTACTGAAGAGGTGAAACCATTGGTGAAGGTTGTAAATCTCTTTTGTCAGGCCACATTTTTGTGGTAGCAGTTATTGCTGCAATGGAATCTGCCCTTCAGATTGAAAAACCTTCTCTTAACAGATACAGAGGACATTTTCCCTTTAACTTTAGATGAGTAATCCAGGTGAGGTTCTGCATGTGCCTGTCACTGCTCATGTGGAATAAGAAGGCTAAAATGTTCAAATGCGCTTGCCTAGAATTCTTGCCTGTCACAAAGAAGTCACAAAAAGTAAAGCCACTTGGGTTCACACCTTTCATTCCTGATATTCAACTGACATAGTTCTCACTCAGTCACTTATCCTTATGTCCAGGAGCAAAGGGAAGGCACAAAAGAATTTGGTAGGGCAGTCTCTTTGTCTAAATTTGCACCTCAAAGGAGATGTGCAGCACTGGTTTAATTGGGTCTCTTAAAACAAGTAAGGATGAAAGGGATGGACTCAGATGTTTTAAGCAGACGGTAAAGAATGTGATACTGATATTGAGGCAAGTGTCTAGGTAGTATAGCATCAAGGGGCATTGCAATTATGCACGCACAGCCACCAAGAATTTCATGGTCCCAGGCAGTCCTGTAATCCTCTACACTAAATCAGCTGTGAAATGGGGGGCCTGGAGAAGACATTCTTCTTATGATGGGACCAGTGCATCCTATGACATGGTCTGTTTCAGGAGCTCCAGATGGCTCAAAAGAACACATAACATTGTAAAGAAAACACTTCAGCTCTGCCACAAACAGTTTAAGATGCCCTAAAAAGGAACAGTTTATTAAAGTTATTAAGACAAGTAAACTGCATTAGCAGCATGTAGATCCCAGTAGTAATGGAGAAAAGCAGCTTGCTTTCTCATACTCACCCCTTTGGGCCTCATTGCTCAACAATGAGCTGCCTTCTTTAAGATTAGGAAGGTGACTCTAAGTTTAGTTTTCTAAAACTTGCTAGAAAGTTAAAGACCTAAACTATGGACCTCTGAAAAAAAGAGTTTTGCTTCTCCAGTTCTAGCAATAAAAACTCTCATAGATAACAATCAGCACCGTATTAAAGAGATAGATGTAAGGTCCCAGATCTCCACAAAGAACCCGAGATCAATACCATAGCCCTCATCTGTCCACTGTGTAACAGTATCACCTGATCTCACTAAAGTACTTCTAAATACATCTAGAGCCCCAAACCCTATCAGATTGGAAACAACAGTGTCTAAAGTTTAGGGGTTTTTTGTTGCCTGTGTTACCATCAGCTTAAATTCAAGTAATTTTCATCTTGAATTCAGGCACTGACAGGATGGGCTACAGCTACACAACTGAATATCTGGGGAAATCATAACTAAGGCAGTTGTTTGATTAATGTCAACACAGCATTAGAGGAGACACCCAGATGATGTTCTAAATTCGTTTCTTTTAGAGTAATGGTCTGCCCTCATATAAATAGAACCTTAAAAGAGATGTGCCCTATATGTGAGCAGATTTAAATAATATTGTTGAAATAAGTAAGCATTTACTTACTATATTTCAATTTTAAAATTTTAAGGAAGAAAATGAAGAAATAAATTCTGACTTGTTAGGTCTTTCTTCTCCTTGAATATTTTTTCCTAATTGGGATATATATATATCCGATATATATATATTTATAATTTTTTGGAAAAAATATATGTATATGAAATATATATGTATATATGAGTATATATCCTTCAGGTCATATTAGAACTATATGTAATTTGGTAGCACTGCCAGATTCATTAAATGCTTCCAAATGAAAAGCTTTGGCTTTTTCTCCTTTATCAGCAGTTTTACAGACCTAAGAAAACTCCCTAACACTTGATTCTCAAATTTGTCTTTCTTTCTAAGATGAAAATCAAACTACACACTAATTGTTTAGTCTGCAATTTGACTAATTAATCCTGTTTCACCAATAAATAAAAACAAAACTCAGCTTATGCCATTTAGCTTCTATGAATAAACATGTGTTTTTTTAAAAAACCACACAACTCAAAACCTACTCACTCAGCCAAGGAGATCATCCCCTATTGCCTCAACATCATGCAAAGTGGATCCTCAAACAGGCTAGAATCTGACAATTTATAAACCTTCAGAATAGAAATTTGTACTGCTAGTAAGCCAGCCTCAACACATGATAGTCACGGTAAAACAAAAAGTTTCTTCAAAAAACACAAAGAACCAGCAATAGAAAACAAAAATCGTGTTTATATTGTCCCAGTTATTTCCAAATCAACAACAGTCTGTTATATAGGGTAAGGTAATCCAGCTACACTTAGCTTCCTCTGATGTCCATATAATTTCTCATTTCTACCTAATAATTCTTTCACATACCTGTCCTCGCTATTTTTATCATCCTTTGATCCTCTCTTTTTGCATTTCACCTTAACCCTTAGTAACATGAGTGTCCCTAACTCATCAAATCAGTCTCTGACACCTGCAAGAGCTCGTTCACATAAATATCCTGACACACACTCTGCCAGCCAGTCACCCACATATTCCACAGTCCTCAGTAACAAAAGCTCCAGACATTGGAATTAGGTTTTAGAATCTATAAAGAAATCACTTTCTCACTTCCCCATCCCTGCCATCTCACCCAAATTCCCAGCTTCAATTCTCTTTAAGAATGACCCCACTGATCCTGGTAACAGTGGGAGGTTGGAAACACCTCAAGTAATAGTTGCAAAATGCAAGATATTTCTTTGGCTGAATTCCCCACCCTCTTCTTGAACCACAACCATCCTGAGACACTGAGTTAGTGGGGATGTTAAGTGTGTGTTTTGCAAAGTGTTTACTGTTTTGCTCACCATGCTTCGAATTGATGAGGCAAGATCTCACAGTTATTGAGGGTCTAGATATAAGGTGATCAGAATGATGCGTAGAACAGTTTTAGGAGGAGGTGAGTTCTGGTGAGGAGTGCAGTTCCCGCTGAATCAGTGTGTTTAATCTTTCTCTCTTCTCACTTTAATTTTTTGGCTGTAATCTTAAAGACTGCTGCCATCCTGGGGCAATGACTCGTTGCTTGGCCTATAGCAAGTGATACAGGTTTCTAGGCACAGCCCCCAAGGGTCTAGCTGCTCTTGCGTTGGAGATCTTCTCCAAACAACAACAACAAAACGTCAGCTGGGAGTGTGCCTGAGCCAGTCATGATTCAAAATGCCTAGATATTAGATATCTGGAAATAGAAATAAAAACGTCTTGTTTTGCCTCTCTGGCGTGAGAACCAGGAAAGATTTCAAAAGAACAGGTAACTGGTATGATGGCCAAATCACAAAAAGAAAATGAAATTTTTATCAGCGATTATCTAGAAAGCAGGCATGTGACACTGGCTAACTTGGTACTGCCATTCTGGGTCAAATTCAGATCGGTCTTGTAATGATTTATATTTTATTTTACTAGAAAGTTTATTCTAATGACTTAGTTACCACTTCTGAGTACAGGAATAATTTTGAATATAACATATGTTTTTAATTTTCTTAATAATCAGCATCCTCAAGCTTTGAAAACATTCAAATTCAAACCCCTATATTTTAGTGTATAGCCAAATTACAGGAAAAATAAATTTAGCAAGAAAATAGATAAGCACCTTTGAGAATTAAATGTAAGCCTCATTATGTGATTAGTTTATGTTCTTTTTCACAAAATAGGTTACTAATTCATCCTACTAGTGTCCAAAAAATAATATCCCAAATCATGTAAAAGAAATCATTTATACACTGGACTGTTAGAAATATTTTGCTATAGAAGTAGAAGCTGATGGCCATTACAGATTAATTAATCTCAGCTCTTTAGAAGGACTGGTGTAGCTGGTTGTGGTTTCTTAATGCATCTTACATGGCTTTTCTTCTAAAGAAAAAATACGTAGAGAACAAAAACACGTATTGGCTGGTTTGGGAAATAAACTTTTCTTGCCAGGCAAATAAATTGCACTGTTAATTTTAAGAAATATGTTGTGTTTTGTTTTCCTTTGCTTTGCTTTGTTCATATAAACTGCCAAAGCAGACTCTTTAAGAAATTCACAACCAGAATTAACTCTGTACAGCGAGAGCATCTTCCTCTACCAAGGACAGTTCCAGGGTGTTTTCATTACTGCTAGTTTTCATCCTGAAGCTGAAGGAACCATAGAGTTTCGCAGACTCTTTGGAAGAGGCAAACCTGTCACGACGATAGAGCTCTCCCTTCCACATGGACATCATTAGCAAACAGGACAGAACGACCCCCCCAAGCGTAAGCAGACAGAGTCCAGCAATCACACAGCGGTCCAGGTGAGCCCCCAGCCTCGCACTCTCCTTCTCCAGGCGTTCCATCTCCCGGGCTGCCACGGTGTTGGGATCCACAGTCACATCCCGGGGTACAATGTAAGAGATGATCACCAGCAAGATGCCAGTGACCAAGAACAAGATGGCACTGATGAAACCATAGTCTACTGACTTCCCTGAAGATGTAGCTTCTGAACTTGTATCATCTTCATCTTCAGATATCAAGGATATGGCAGCCTCATGGGACCACTCATTTGAATTTCCCCAGCCAAGGTCTCCCAGGTGATTACTCCCTTTTGCTGAAGGGGAGCTCCGGTTCCTTTGATCCAGGTTGACATTCTCATCCACGTAGGTAAAAGAGGTTTCTAATTCCTGGCTACAGCAGTTGCAGATTTTCCGTTCTGATGTTATTTGGTTGTTCCCTGAGTTGAGATGGCCCTGTGGCAAGGAATCTGTCTGAATAACATTGTCTTGCAGAGAGGAGGAAGGGGATGCTGGAGAAGGGCTAAGGTTAGACCTTTCCATCTCTAGGGCTTTTTGTATTGACGTACAGTGTTTCTGGCAGCAGAGAGCAGCTTTGGTGACTGCTGCATCTGCCTCGTCACTGGGAGGTCCTCCTGCACTCCAGTCCACAGCATCACACAGGGCTGCCTGGCTGCTCTTCTTAGCAAGGTAGTGGAGCTCCATCAGAGCTAATCAGACAGCAGCTTCTGGAAAGTCTGCCAATAGCTAGACAGTTAGATAAGAACCCAACAGGAGCTAAGGCTGCATCACCAGGAGTACTGCTCCTGAGGCCCTCATCTCCTTTGTAGCCACAGGTTTTGACACTTTAGCTCCAGTTCCTCCTAAAAGAGGTAAGAGAAAGGAGCAGATACCTAGTGGCAGGAAAGTGCGAAAAGGGCAAATCCTCTGACTTATCACAGGGATTAACACTGAGAAACTTATGTCAGGGTAGGAAAGGAGCACGGAGGAAGTGACAGTGTCTCTGAAGAAAGCATTGCCGTCACCAAGCCAAATTTATCCAAGGACTCACACATTTCAGTGACAGGATCCCTCAAATGAGAAGGCAGGTTTCCTGTATAGAGACACAAATGAGAAGGGCAGGGACTTTTTTAGCAGAGCTGCTGATTTTCTGGAGAACCTGGGGAAGCGCAGACTTCTCAACAATTCATTTAAATTATAAGTGTTTACACTCTCTTTAGTTCAGAACAGGTTTTAACATTAGAGCATTACCATGGGTGAATAAATCTGTCACCATCAGTTGGGCTCTACTGGAGCCAGGGCTCAGCATTTTGACGGTAGCTCTGAAGTGGGTGAAAGATGGCTGGCTTAATCAGCCACCCGTCCAAACCTTACACCTTGTACACACAGAGACCTTAGTTACACAGCCCTGTATTTACAAGACCCTACTCCTGTTCATTGTGCTTCCAGTGTCAGCTCAGCCCCTTGCTACTACATGATGGTAGCATGTTCAGGACCCCAAAGTACATAGACAACACACCACTCTTTGATCCCTGCAAAATATGATGGGCTAGCTCACTCCTACACTCACTCTCTCTCTCTCTCTCTCACACACACACACACACACACACAGATGCCTGATCCAGGTAAAAGCTACTCCCACTTACTAAGTGGGTATGATCCTTTCCCTCTGCACACTTTGCAAACAAATGTGCACAGGAAATCGACCATCTAGAAGTTTTCACAATCCAGAAGTAAACTGACAATAAAAGACAAATCATAAACCCACAGAGTTACAGCTACATTGAGGCAAATAGGTGAAAAGCTATTTCCAAAGTTACCTCTGAAACTCTGTATTCATGACATGCCCTCACCTCCACCACAGCAAGGTACCTATCTGGGACAGAACTTTGGATTGAGCAGAAAACCATTTGCCCATCTTTTGCTGCTTCTGCCATCTTTCTGAGGAATAAAATTCACTTTCCACCGTCACCAAGTACAGAGGTTTTAAGCAAGAGCCCCTTTTATTTTGCTTCCAAGTCCTGGGTAATAACTGATTTAACTCGTGGCTTGGGGGCTCATCATACTTCAAAAGAGCTCTAACAGCTGGTAACCCACACAAAAGCACAGGCAAGGCTCACTTAAGGTCTGCCTGGCAACTTACTTAAAATATAGGAGAGGAAATCCACATGTTTTCTGCTCTACATCAGAGTTTTTAAAACACACACACACACACACACACACACACACACACACACACACTACTTTCTCCTATTAGAGTTTTTAAAACACACACACACACACACACACACACACACACACACACACTTTTCTCCTATTATTGGAGTTTGCAGCTATAACAGAAAAAAAAAAACCCAAAACCAACCAAACAAACAAAAACACCAGCTGTAGGGAAACCACAACTGAACCAGAGCTTTCCTTTAGTAAGTGCAGGATCCCTCAAAGAAGGAATCGATGGTAACGGGCTTGATCAATTACTGAAACAAGAAATCGCCTCGCAGTTTCCTCAAACGTTAGGAGCTCTGATTAACCTTTGGCTCAATTAACTCATCAAACTGGATTACTTTAGATAAAAATCGGCAGAGTCCCTTACGGGACTTCCAATTTGTAACAAAGAGGGAGAGAATTTTCCACTTAACTCCCTTCTCCGGCTTCTCTCTGTCTTTAAAGAAGAGAGGCTCTTGTTCTATCAGAGATATATTAGCTGCACAGTCGATTTCCTTTGCAACTCCGTAATCCGGGGCTTCCATTCTCAGTGGAGAATGGATAAATCCCAGGGGACCAGCTGAAGGCTCTTTCCTTCAGTCTCCTCCCTCTCTTCTCCCTGGTTTAAGAGCGCAGTTAATGAAACTGCACCGCAAAACGAAGGGATAGCACTTTGCCTCGTCCGTCTGCCAGCAATGAAGAGCATTAATATTTGTATTGGAACTAACCGACTCGGGCGAGGCTGGTCGGGGGGAGGCGACCTCGGGATCCGTCCTGCGCGCGCTGTGCCGGGAGGGCGCGCCGCAAGCACCCGACAGCGGCATCCCCACGCCCGGGATCAATCGATCCATTCCGGTGAACTCCGCTTCCGCCCGAGGTATCCGGAGTTGGGCTGCGTTCGCCTAATACCCCAAAGCAAGGCAGGCACCTTGGGCAGGGAGAGGGGAAGCGCTCCCCAGCTGCGCCAGGCTCCCGGGGTCTCTCTCTCGCCCCAGCGCCTCCTCCCCGTCCCGCTCTGCGCTACTCACCTCCTGCCTTAGCCACCCTGTGAGGTTCGAGCACCGCGCGCTTGTCTCTGCGCGGCTCCTCGGGAAAGCATCCCCATCACCGACCGCAGCACTTGTAGCCTCTGCGCGCGGCTCGGCTCCGAGGGGTGGGCAGCGCCTTCTGTGCCGGCGAGGCGGGGCGGGGTGGGGCGGGGCTCTCTCTCTTGCTGAGCATTCCGGGAGATGTAGTCCTGGTCGGCCTCTCTGCCTCGCTCCTGTCTTTTCCCTCCTACTTTCTCGCTTTTGCCCCTCCTGAAGAGTTTTCGCAATACCTAGCTGCTCCTACCTGGCACCTTAGAAAAGCGCTGGCTCCTAAACTTAATGTTGGGTCCCCTAGCATCAGGTGTGGCCACAGGATTATGTGGAAAGAGTGTATATTTAGTTACAACTGTGTGCCAGGCAATATGCATAGAATCAATCTTCCCAGATTTTATTAACCCTCATTTTACAGATGAGGAAAGAGGTTCAGAGGAATTAAGTGCGTCATCCCAGGTTACAAAGACAATAAATGGTAGCTAATAAGTTGTATCCAAGGATCTGCTTCCAAAGTCATTGATTTGCCAACAAAATCGGGAGAAACGTGATCATTGAGGGTAAAGGATTGTCCTGTTCTTCATCCCCTGAGCTTAGCAGGGTGTCTGAATGACCCAAAATAACAATAATAACATACACAGCACTTACTATTGCCAAGCTCTCTTCTGATCACTTCTGATACATTAACTCATTTAATGGTCACAGTAATTTTTAAAGTCCTATAAAAATCCTCCTTTTCACAGAAGAGGAAACTGAGTTATAAAGAAGCTGAATAATTTGCCCAGTCATACAGCTAGTACTCAGCAGAGGTGGGGAATGAACCCTAGAAGGTCCTAAGCATTATGAAAGTTGAATGAAAGGAAAAAAAGACCAAAAGGCAAGAAGAGAAGGGGCTAGGAATTGAGGAAATCCGGAGGTTGAAGCCACTAAGATTGACTCCCAGGACAGAACAAAGTTAATTCTTAGGATCCCCAACCTCTTTCTAAGTACAGTGGATTGCAGCAGCTAACAGCCAGGGAGAATGTGTGGTTTGTGGATCATCTCCAAGTGTTCAGCATCTCCTTTGGGGCGATCCTATGGTTATTGATTGTTTTCATCTAAACGGAGCAAAGAAGGGTTATAAAGTTTTGCTGCTTGTGAATAGCTTGCATAAATTCTGAGGTTGCTTGCTTTCAAGAAATAGATCAACCTCTTATAATGATGATTTTGTTGTTTTCCTTTATATTGATAGCATCCATAGTCTCATAGTTCTGGGGACTTCATAATCCAGCCCCTTTAAAATCTTTTCTCCCTATGACTCTCTTTTAGCCAGTTAAGCCCATTTGTTGATAAACATGACATGTCTATTATGGCTTCTTCTCCTTCGCTCATTAATTACACTATTTTCCGGTGAGAATATCCTTTCTTTATCCTCCTATTCCTTCCACCCTTTAAGGACTATCTCATCCAGCCACATTCGCCAGGGTGTGTTTTGTTCTTAGTACTATGTATTTAAAATGGAGCCCAAAGACACCATACAATGTCTAGATGAGAGCAATTAAGAAGTTGAAAAAACCTGAATTCATGTTGAACAAGGAGATACTAAAGAAACTTGGGGTATTTAGCCAGAGAAGGAGACTCAGAGGAAACAAAAACTAACTTTAAATAATTTGAAGTTTGCCTTGAAATAGAAGAGGAATTTTATATCATGCTTAAAAGGGGGGAAAGTAGAACCAATGACAATAATAGTATTTATTAGTCCTAATGTGTTGTCATCTTTAATTCTTACACTAACTCTGTTAGGAAGCCAGTATTATTGTACCCATTTTACAGTGTAGAAATTGAGGATTGAAAATGTCTCTTTGCAAGGTATTAGAAGCAATAAATAACTAGTAGAGCCAATATTCTAACTTGGGTCTACCTTTCAGAACCTGAGTCTCTTCACCACTACGTTATAATGAGCAATGCTTCACGATCATTTTCACAGCAGAGCATAAATGAGAGGTGATCATATTATCGCACTGGGATAAAGACAAGGGGTTCCTCATGACCATAGTCCTGGTGCTGTGGCTACTTCAGGCCCTGCAGGACAGGTAAGGGGCAAGGGAATAAATAAGTCAGCACATCTGTAATACACTGGGGTACCTGAGGATGATGGACACAGGGACTGGGAGGCCCTGGATGGCACTATCAGACTTACTAAGTAGGCTAATTTGGGGCTGAGTATAAGGAAGTACATTCTCTAAGAACTTGAAACAGGATGTGTCATGAAAGTGAATTCTGTTATTACCGGAGAGGATTTTTTAAAAAGGGCCACTTATTAGTGATGTGTTAGAAGAGACTTATCCAGTTGGATTAGAGGACTACCATGGTTTCCCTGCTGAAATGATTTAAGTTACATCTCTTTCATGAAGCTTTTTTCCTCCAAGCCAGCTCCCAAAGACTGTCTCCTATGAACTATGCTAGGACTTGTCTGAGCTGATGTCTTTTTATATTTATCAACCACTACCTTGTGACATTTATAGTATGTCTAGGTAACTACTGCATATTGTTTAACTTCTCACTTAGGTGCCTAAGCTCTAATAGCAATTGTAAGCTCCTTAAGGTCAGTATCCGTGTATTAAATGTCTTATTACTTTCTACAGAAAGTGAAATATTTCTATTGATTATAGTGAAGGAAAATGCTAAGACTGAACTGAGACTGGAAATGATTATCTCTCCACCTTATTCTTTCTCATTTCTTATTTCTGAATATAGTACACTTGACTGTCTACATATTCTTGAGCATTAAATACAATCAGCTCGATGCAAATGCCCTACAAAATCTCCTTCAAAATTCTGCAGGAAAAGGATAAATGTGTACTTACTTACTTTTGAAGGAAATCTTCAAAATTCTGCAGAAAAAGGATAAATGTGGAGCTCCTGGAAAGACAGGGTCTGCAAAAAATACCACTTGCTGGAATAAGTTCATCTCACCTCTCTCTCCTATAAATCCATGTTTAAACTTTCCTCAAAAATCTAGCCAGGAACCTTTTTCAAGAGCCTTTCTTGTTCACAACCCCCAAATTTTTATTGCTGTTCTAATTGGCATTCTAGTGGCATGATACACCTTCTTTCAAACTGTCATTTTATATCTATAGAAGTATTTCATGTCTATTTTATACTGCTTTCTATGTGTCTCTCTTCCCAGATAAAATTTAAGCTCTTTGAGACCAATATATTCTTTCTATAACTTTGAAACTAGCTACACATGGACATGAAATAGCAAAATACATGGCCAAAAATGGTTCCTCAATATATGCTTACAAAATGATTGATGCCAATAAAGTAATGATTCTAAAGTCTAAGTAATGATTTTTATCTCACATAATGTTTAATATGGCCCATATTTTGCTGTTTACTTATATTCTATGAGGTGTGGGAGGTGCAATCATGATTACATTACACTAAGTAAGAAAATAGATTCTGAAAAGTAAATTTACCATGTAAATCAAGGGTAGTGCAAGAACTTTTAGCAAAAAGTCTCTTGTAATGACGACTGAGGATGCTTTCAAGTTTTCTTCCTTCAACAATAATAATAAGGACTGATTGTGAATAAACATCCTTAGGGTTATCAGGAAAGGCTAGGTTGCTAGGAGGTAAGAAAGACATTGGCTGGATAGAGGCTTAGTCATTTAATGGGACTAGTACAAGGAATGTGACTTACTTTGTGCCCCAAGCAGGCACTTCTTTTTTTTTAAAGATTTTTTTATTGATTTATAATCATTTTACAATGTTGTGTCAAATTCCAGTGTAGAGCACAATTTTTCAGTTATACACGAACATATATATATTCATTGTCACAATTTTTTCTCTGGGAGGTAGCATAAGATCTGGTATATATTTCCCTGTGCTATACAATATAATCTTGTTTATCTATTCTACATTTTGAAATCCCAGTCTATCCCTTCCCATCCCCAGCCCCCTTGACAACCACAAGTTTGTATTCTATGTCTATGAGTCTGTTTCTGTTTTGTATTTACATTCTTTTTTTTTAATTTCACATATGAGCGGTCTTATATGATATTTTTCTTTCTCTTTCTGGCTTAGTTCACTTAGAATGACATTCTCCAGGGACATCCATGTTGCTGCAAATGGCGTTATGTTGTCATTTTTATGGCTGGATAGTATTCCATTAGTTCTGTATCTTGATTGTGGTGGTGGTGATGTGAATCTACACATATGGTGAACTGGTGATTTTGGGGGTTGATAAGTACATATGGCTACACAAAATGTAACCACTGGGGGAAACTGAGTGAAGAGTACACAAGACCTTTCTATAATATCTTTGCAACGTCTCAAGAATCTATAATTATTTTAAAATAAGAATTAAAACAAACAAAAAACCAAGCGCATCAGAAGATTAAATCACACGCATGAAAACAAACAGAAACATAAAATGATAGAAAAGACCAACAAGAGGCTTCAGTTATTACAGAATTTTAAGTAACTATATTTACTGTGCTTAATGAAATAAGACAAAATTTAGAATTTTGTCAGAGAACTGGAAATGAAAAATGAAAAATACCACAATCAAAATTAGAACTCAGTCGATGGATTAAGAGATTAGACATAATGAAGAGAGAATTAGTGAATTGGAGATAGTTCAGAAAAAAACAACTCAAGTAAAACACAAAGAGACGAAAGAATGAAAAATACAAAAGTGAGGGTAAAAAGACATAGAGGAGAAACAGTTATGTTTCAATAATAGATTGTTGTGTCAAAGGAAGGAGTGAAATTTTTTTCTGTCCTTTGGGAGGGGAGAAAAAGGCAGATTTCTCGTTATGTTTCAATAATAGATTGTTGTGTCAAAGGAAGGAGTGAAATTTTTTTCTGTCCTTTGGGAGGGGAGAAAAAGGCAGATTTCTCTTGTTTCTGTATACAGGCAGAAAAACATAAAAGATTTTCTCTGTTCCCATGTCTGATACAGACTTTGAAGTTTGTGTGCATAAGACATTTGACTTTGTTTTCATTGTGTTGTCCCAGGGATGAAA